ACATAATCTAATCCAGGTCTTGATGGAAGGCAAGCAAAACATCACACAAACATTTGCTTGCCAATATAGACACACCACAAAGAGGTGCTGTGGGATTTTTCAAAAGTATCTATGGCTGTAAAGGGGAAGATTGAATTAAGATATGCAACTCCACCTCCATTAATTCAAGATTCCGTGTGATCTCTACAGCGGGAGGTCGATGGGAGCTCACACTCCCATGCTAACCCAAACTCCGGAAGATTGATCGTGGTAGTGTCGATCTTCCCACAGTGAAGACATGACCTAAGTTTTTTGTTTGGTTTACAGAATGAATTCCTAAATTACTTTGCTGGTTTTATAAATCCCATCTAATTCTTTCATGCTTCCCTCCCTCCCTCCCACCCCACAGTTGGCAGCTATTTTTCAACTTCTGTTGGTGTGGATTTCAAATTAACAGATCAAATTAGTAAATTCTGTGCTTGGAGTCTGTTCCACCCCAACCCTCCCAAGAATGATTTCATCAAAAAGCTGCTATGAAATTACATATCTTAAAATTAACATTATGATTCTTAAAAATATGTGGTATTAAATGCTAAAACCATGAAAGTGTGTGCGTTTCAAAAAGACAAAAGCAAAACCGTTTACTCCACTGTTTGTTTTTAGAGTACACTTCTAAGGCGAGCCACTCCACATCCTGGAGAGTTAAAGAACATGAAAAAGACAGTGGAGAATTTACGGAATGATATGAATGCTGCTAAAGGACTGGATTCAAACAAAAACGAGGTCAATAATGCCATTGACAGAGTGACCACTTCTGTGTAGAGTCTCATCTCCAGGTTTTACCTCCTGTGTCTTCCCCTGCTGTTGAAATGTTCCTGTCGTCTTCTGGGACTTCATTCAGCCCCCTTTGTTTTTAACCAAAACCTATTCATCATCTCCTTGTATGTGGAAGGTGCTGCTCACTGGAAGAAAGTGCCTTATTTCAGCCAGGCATTGAACCAATAATTTCCAAATCAATATTGTACTTTTAATAGTTAAATTCGTTTTTAATAGGGTACAATACTGTATACATAGTGCTGTATTTTTGTCTTACATGTGGAGAAATATGATTTTTCCTAAGTGCTGTGGTATTTTCTTCCCAGTTGCTAGTTATGCTGGTGAGAAATACAGTTTTATGTGGAAAATGGATACATTTTTACTCTTCGGCAGCTCAGATGGTGTACATTTTAAAATTTTGTATAGAAGTTTCATAACAATATGGTGTATTTCATTTTTAAAAAAGAAATTTATCTTAATCGGTACATATTTTAGTATTGTGGAAGAGAACATGAGTTTCACGGACAGTTGTATTCATTTGTTGTTTATATTGCCCACTTGTGCCTTAATGTGTCTTGTATGTCAGACGAGTCTTAAAAGAAAACTGAATCCTTGGGCAGAAGAAGAAGTTTTAAATGGGGTGGCTGTCTGGATGTGTTCATTTCAAGCAGTAATTAACATTTGGAGTATTTTACATAAAGAAAAAAGAAAACTGATGTTTATATCATAGGATTCAAATTTGTGAAGCACAACTGTTTATTTTATTGTATGCTGAGGTGAGATTAAATGACCAGACTGCTACTGTTTATTACACAATGCACTCACACTTTAACTTAATCATAAGGAAACCTCTTGTTTTGGATGCAATGATGGATTGCAGTCACTATAAAACTCATGCTCTCACGTTTAATGTTGAATGTGCCATTTATAAAATAAACAGAACAAAATGCACTCTAGACTTTCAGAAGCACAGTATGAAACTAGTTTTATGTACTACACAAGAAGAATGATATTCTTTTAAAGTGCTTTGGAGGTTTTATATCCATATATAAAACCATAATAAAAATCTTAAGCCTCGATAGCATTTTTGTATCATTTAAATTGCTATGATAAATATTAGAATTGACTTTATCTGTACATTTCATTGTGCTATATGTTAATTGAGTGAACACTAGCTTTATGTTTGTATTGAAAGCTTTTTGGGGTCTTTTTGAGTGGAGGGCTTAGTAAACTTTGTTAAATTGAATTTAATGCCATGAAAAGTACCAGTTTTAATGTGTACCAGAGAAAATAGTCTCTTGAATGCAGTGCAAATACAATGCAAACAGTTACATTGTAAGGTTTCTCACATTGCTGTCAGTGTTCCTGGACTGTGACATGCAAATGAGACCAATTCATTCTCCATATATATTACATTTGTGGCACCTCTGCTGAGATTTGAAACAATCGTGTCAGTTTTGACTGTATCTGTGTTGTGCATCTGTGTTCACTAAGAACTAATCAAAGACTGCACATGTAGACCGCTGAATAGCCTTTAGGTTCGGAAAAAAGGTGTACTATACCTAGGAGGTTCAGATGCAAGCCTGTAACTGAAATGAACAGACTCAAGTATGATCAAAATAAGTGTTACTACTTCAAGCAAGCTCCTCTGTACATTATCATTTGGAATTGAACCTGCTTGTAAACATTCAAATGTTTGAAAGGAAGACTTGAGAAACTTAACAGGAAGAACATTTTGCTAAGTTAATAGTATTATCAAGAATATGGAGTTTCTTCTTCAAGTAGATGCAGCTCTGGACTAGGGGCCAGAGATCTTTGCCCTGCACTACCTGTTGGCAAGTGCACACAGCCTTAGCCCTTCCTCTAGCCCAGGGATGGGCAATAATTTTTGAAGGGGGGGGGCCACATCAAAATTTTTGTAGTTGATCAAGGGTCACACTTTTCTATGGACCAGGCGGGGGTCTGGGATGGAGTGTCAACTCACAGGGATGTGGCCAAACAGGATTATGGATTCACTTCACAGCAGAGTCGATTAGGGATTGTTGATTTTATTAATCTCACTACATCACTACTATTATAGGCTTAATACTGTCAGATGGTTACACAGCTACTGCAAAGAGACACGTCAATAAACATAGGCAGAGCAATGCATAAGAGAGCAGCAGGCACTTAGAAATGCTTACTCCCCTTCAGTCTGTGGGGACTCCCATTCCTGTTACCTCGCACCAGGCTGCCGTGGATGTGGCTCCAGCTGGAGGAATCCAGGGCACCCTCTAAGGTCTAGGTCCCTGGTGAGACTCACCGAGCACAGGACTCCCTATGCTAGTTATACTACAGTTGTATACCGAGTGTCTGCAAGCTCGCCCAACTCCACTCCCAATGTTCCCATGGGGCTGGGAACCAAGGTCAAACTAGTTTACCACTTAGTTTCCCAGTTCAAGGCATGGGTTAAAGCTGATAAAGCCCAGCTGCTGTTTGCGTTTGCAGGGTATAAGATTTTACCAGGCTATGTACAGCTAGGATGCAAACCTCCATCCCAGACCTGCTAAGCTGCAGGACCCACATACGACTTTTTATGTGACACAGAGTTTGGGTGCAGAAGGGAGCTCAGGGTAGGGGGCTGGGGTGCAGGAGAGGGTTGGGGTCTGAGAGGGCGTTTGGGTGAAAGAGGGTATTGTGAGGAGGTGCAAGAGAGCATTCTGACCTGGGGGGAGGCATTTGAGAGAGGTGCAGCGTCTGGGAGAGAGTTGCGTGTGGGGAACTGGGGTGTCAGAGGCAGGCTCTGGTCAGGAGGTGCTTACCTAAACAGCTCCTGGGCAGCAGCACTCTCAAACGGCTTCCCTGCTGACTTCCACAGTGCAGGTCTGTGCCACAAGGGTGCGTGGGCCGGATTAAAAGACTTGGCAGGTTGGATCTTGCCAACCCCTCCTCTAGCCATACAAAGGCAGCACTGCTCTAACCCTCTCAATCACTGCTTACAGCCCCTGGCTACAGTGAGGACTCTGGTGTTTTTCACCTTTGTGCTTTTGGTCTGTTTGAGATTATTTTCTTGTATATAGTAGCATCTTATCTTAAGTTTAGTATTCAATTAGAGTAGTTGGCTGCATGTGTAAAGCTCTTACTGGGGTTCAAGCATTCTCCATCTCTGGAGGGGAGAAGTGGGGCAGGAGGGCATTCCATGCAGTAATTCCTACAGATGGTTCTTTTGGATCAGTGAAAGAAACATTAAAGAGCTGTGTTCCACCTGTAAGTCATTCACAAAGCACTTCAGTGATCAGGCACTTGCAGCTGAAGCAGCATCTGCTGGTGCAGACCACGAGGATGCCTTCACATCTCCTTCAAATGATGTCACTGTGTTCTTTGGCTTTGGCATTTCCCCAGGGAGGAAGGGATCATTTTCCCTTTTCTAGTATAACTAGAAAGGGGTCCCATAAAACAAATAAGGCTCAGGGAGACTGCACCACACTTTCCAAGAGGAGTGCTGACTGGCACCACATTTTGTCTGGCATATAGGGATAGAGCAGTCCATCCAACTGCTCCCTGATTTACCACTCTGAGGTAGGGCAAGAGCCTGTGTCAACTTCTCAGTTCTGGCCATGGGGGTCTGTCTCCACTCTGACATACCAAGCAGCATCAGGCCTGTGTTGCCTCTGAGTCCTGGATTCTCCACTGGTTCAGGAGTTCTCTGGTGCCATGGCTTCTTCCAACTCATCCTACTTTGTGCTATTATCATCTTTTGCCTGCATCACAAAGCTGCTGGGTTTGTCAGCACCACAGCTTGTACTGCCCAGGCTTCAGACACATTTGTGGCTGATGCAAGGCCAGGCACCAAAGGTCTCATTGATGCTGGTGCATCCTCGGGCATCATTGTTGTCTGGGCAGCAGGTCCTTTTGAGTTCAGGACTGCCCTTATCCTTGGTATTGGCACCTCTCCCAGTATCAGAAATAGGAACATGTCTCATTTGGTACCATCAGTGCCCAGTGCCAATCCCCCATTCCTGGTTGGCACTGATGACCCCCTTCCCATATTGGGCATCAGAAGAGCCTAACCATTTGTTTGCTCCATTGGGGCTGGTTTCCTCATTGTTCCCAGAGAATCTTCAAGACTCTTCCAGATCAACAGATAAGCACCACAGAGAAACTTTGCCTCATCATCAGTCTTGAGATTTGGCATCTGTCCCACAGTTGGGTCAGGGGCTCTTGGTCTGATGCCTGATGGCCGCCATTGTCTTATTGGTGTGGCCCATGGCCTTAAAGTCTTTAGGACACTTTTGGTCCATAAGATCCTACTCCTTGAGTTGCTCCAGAATCAGATTGCTGGTCCTGAAGGTGGCTCCATGTGCCAGTGTGTTCTCTTCACTCAATCCTTACCGACCAGGGCACCAATGCTTCCTTAATAGGTTGGGGAGTGCATCTGGGATCACTGAAAGTCCAAGATCTACATCTGAACAGGAAGCTTCTCTGCTTGTCAGTGTCCTGGAGCTTCCTGCCACGTATGCTACCTGTCAGCCTCTTTCAGATCACTTCAGAAACTTGGCTGCGTACATCCTTACAGACAATACACTACAGCATGCTCTATCAGGAGGAGATCAGGCCCTGCCAGTTTTGCATAGGGGAAGATGGTGCTTCCATGGTGGATCACTTGCCTTGGTCCAGAATCATCTGGCAAAACATCTCAACATAAATTTCTCCCTTAATCACAAAAGATTGCTAAAGCCCAGTGTGCTACAGTTCGTTTTTGCAATTTGGGGCATCCTAACAATCAACTTGTTTGCCACAAGAGACAAAAAGAAATATCAACTGTTTTATTCCCAACGAGGGTCTCAGTTTGGGCTCCTTGAACAGTGGTTTTCACTTGAGCTGTGAATTAACTTTCCTGTATGCATTTGCTCCAATTCTGATTATCTTGCAGATTTGTTCTCATGCTGTAATTGGACCAAATCAAACTCATTCTCCTTGTTCCAGCATGTTTGGGACAGTGTTGGTTTTCTGACCTCCTTGTGCTATTGGTTCAGCTTCTCATATTCTTTCTTTGTCATCCTGACTCCTGTAACCTGGTCTGTTCAGTTCCCTGCGTCTCACAGCATAGATGCTGCATAATTAGATGAAGCAGAGGATCAATTGTGAAGGTGGTCTGGCAGACCTTGCTCAGTAGAAGAAAGCTGTCCATCAGAGCAACCTATTTGACTAAGAAAGTAGTTCTTGATATGGCATGAGCCTGGTAGGTTCATCCATGACAACTTAGAAATATACATTACACTTCACTCTTCTGGTCCTGTGTTTAGTTTTATGAGATCCACCTTTCATCTGAGCATCCATGTGAAAGCCACATTTTCAAACCTCATGGTTGTGAGGTTGTTGATAAATCACTTGTCTCCCTCTGCCCATTACAGCCTATCATTTGCATGTTTTAATACTGTCCTAGGGGCTCTTATAAGTCCTCAGAGCCTCTGGTAACTTCTTTCTCCATATGGTAGAAAACTGCCTTCATTATGGCAATAACATGTGCAAAGTGGGTGGGTAGGTTGCAGGTCTTGATAGTGGAGCCCCTATATGCAATTTTCTAAAGACAAAGCAATCCTGCATCTTTGCTGTATTTATTTGTTTTTTTTTTTATCCAAGGGGTTTCCCATTTGTACTTGAATCAAGTGCCACATTCAACCCCTGAAGAACAATGTCTTCACATATTGG